TTTCAATTTTGGCCCTTTTAATATACATATTGTTATAGCATAATTTATCTCTCCAACATTTAATAAAAGATTAAAAAATTGTAATAAAAATTTAATGCTTTAACTTATAAATATGATAAAAAAAAAAACACTCATCTCTTTACACTGTAAGTGAAAATGATACACATGAATAAGTGTAGGGACTAGAGGGTAAAGAATGCATGCTTGCATAGGGTATAGGAAGTACAAAATAGATGGTGGAAATATGCTAAAAGTGAAAGTTTAAAGATTGAGGGGCCAAAGCAGTAATTTTTTTCCTTATAGAAAATCACCTCATAACTTGGTAAAATTTTTTTTTAAAAAAAAAATTGGGCACTACCTAGGTCCACCCATGTTTATTAATATTGTGATTATTGTCTTTATTTGTAAGTTAGCCATAGCATTCCAATTTGAAGGCAGACTTTAACGTCTATATATAGATGTTGATATTTTGGTATGTGTGTAAAAGATGTGTGTGTGTGTGTTGGGAAGAAATAAAGAATTGTGGAGCCTAATTGGCAAAGCCACGTATCTGTTTTCAGTGTTTTGGCTTGCACATGAAGTGGTGTTTCTTCAAGTTTAGTATATGGAAAAAAAGCCAATTTAGTGATGAAACGAACCCCAGCTTCCGAAAGAATGATTGCTTTTGTGCATGCGCAAGGCTAGCGTATATATAACACCATAGAATCATAACTTTGATACAGTGAAAGTGATCGATGATCCATTCCAGGTTTTGTGTGTATATGTGTGTGTACCCGAGAGCTGATAAAAAATGATCACAGAACCTTGTCCCACACACTCTGATGAGTCTGATGATGGAATTAGGGCTTTGTTTCAGAGTTTCATATATATGACTTTGTGGTACCTGCGATGCATCAAAAACACATCTGGCACACAACCTACTAAAACATCGTATTCCTATCTATCTTTATTCCACTTTAATTTTCTTCTATATTATTTCATGTTTAATTTAATTGCTCTCTCTTTTAAAGTCTCTGCATGACACTCTGTTTTTCAATTTTATATATACTTAACCAGGTTAAATTTAAGCATTATCGAATCTAAAAGATAACAACTTCTAAAAATATTTTTTACATTTACATATATTTAAACTTGAGATGTAGTGTGTTTAAGTGATTATATATATAGTACCTTTAACTAGCTAGGACCCACGTCTGTTGCTTCAATTGATTTAATTATAAGAGCTTTTATAATTATTTTTTTATACGGACAAATTAAATACATCGGTGCCTTGCACTAGCTTGAAGAAAATAGCCTTCAGATCACTTGATCAGTAGTTGCGTGCACATATGTATAATCTCTAAACCTAATTGATTGCTACACAAATATTTCCACATGTCTAATCCAATTTTGTTTCATCAGCTTTCGACCAAACTATGTATTTTAATCAAATTGGTTGAAGCTGTCATATCTTTTACTATATGACAGTTCAGTTACTTTATATGTATGGTCATGGATATGTATGTACGTTGTACAAAGACTTCCAATGTTTTCGTGTTCGAATATTTCATTTTGGTGTAATCATAATTAGGCAAACAACAGAGCTGAAGACAGTAAAATCCCACGAAATTTCTTATATTGTTTAAATTCTTTTGAACACAGTGAGAAATATTCACTTCTTATCCCAGCTTATAAGATATTTTTTTTAAAACTAAAATTATGCATCCTGATAAAATTTATTAAATACAATTTATAATCATTTTTTAGATATAAATATAAATTTTTAAAAATTATCCTTCATTTAGTATAACCTTATTTGTAAAACATTAATAGTGAGAAAAAGTATACTAAATAGGAGAATGTAATATTGGAATTTGGAACAAGTACAATTAATAAAAAAAATTATTTTGCTAAAGTGTTTTGTATTTTAGACACAGGATCACATCCAAAAATGTTTTATAAACTAGTACAAAAGGAGTATATTAAATTCTCAATCCAAAAAATTAATTGCTAATAAATGACATCAACATTAGGTACTTTCTTGCAATAGTAATGCTGGATATTAAATTAGCTTACGCATGTATAAATTTTCAATTTTTCAGTTTGATTGACAATACTCTCTGGATATAGAAAACCTTCTAATTATGGAAAAATTAAATGACATCAGCTCAATTATTTTTCTTCATTTTAAAGATAATTGTCTTCAATAACACGGAACCACCTTAATTACGTGGTGCTTGACTAATTTCTTAGCTGAACACAATGATATATCATCAATGATGAATTCAATGATATCGATATATATTTTCAAGCGTTGATGTCTCTTGAAATTAATTAAAGCATTCCAAGGGTACGAATGTGACGGATCCATGTGATGTCAAAATTAATTATATATGACTTTTGATCTTTGATATGTTTTGATAAAATTACACATATTAATGATGTTCATTCAGCAAAGCTTATAATTTTATTTTTAATATTTTTCATAAACTTCTAAAAATACTCTTTAGGAGAGGGAATGAAGGTAATTTATTTAAAGAGTGAAATAATAAAAATTAATATTAAAATAATTATAATTAATAAGACATCATTTTTTCAGAACGTCTTATATTTTGAATATCAAATTATATTACTTCTGAAAATATCTTATAACATAGGATGGAGGAAGTACATGAATATAGATTCCCCTAAATTCTACGGCCCGTATGAAAAGGGATCAAGAGGGTTTCATATTGATTGATCAGGAGGTTTGTGATTTGTCAGTAGATATAGATAATTTAATATCTCTAATTTTACGAAACATACTGATGCTAAAACCCTATAGTCGGCTTATTAATCAAAAACACAAAGGGCATTGAATATTAAGGACAATCATGTCTTCTCATTATCAAACATTCACATTGTAGTTTTCATTATTAATATAGTACTAGTATGTATCAATTCGAGCCAAATTTGAAAAATGAGTGGTACAATTCATTTATAATTAATAGTATGATTTGTTAGAGTTTATACATTTATTAGAAAGAGATTAATCTACATTTCTTTTCTTACCCATAAAGGTTTACAATATTTCATATATATGATTTTATCCCCTATCAAATTCATTTTCCATAAAAATCAAATACTTTGCAAAAAAATTATACCAACATATATATAATATTGAATTTGTACAAGATAAATATATTATATGCTTACGTACTTCATGAATTTTGACAATGAGTCACACAGTGCATAATTTGTTAACAAAGTGACTTACTCTACTATATTTTATGTTATATTATATATACAATTTTTTTTTAAAATTTCCCTTGATGATGAACTGATTTTTTTTGTGGAATAACATCGTTGTGCATAATACAGAAATTTAGTTGGATCTTACAGAAATTTTTCTATGCATTTAATTATAGAAGAAATATTGATTTCTGGTTCCAACAAAAAAAAAACATATTCAAAGAGTAATGCATATATCAACCTAATTAGTAGTTCCATGAAGTTTTCTAACATCTGGAGGATGGAGACAACTTTTCTTAATTATCGAGAAGAAATCCAAGGCGATATTTTTATTCATGGCATATATTAATTGACACGACAATATGTGGACGATAGACAATACGGGTTAAATTTGTCAGGCAAAAAAAGTTTAAATAAATAGCTCTTTTCATTATAAAAGGTTTTGCAATGTAATATAAAATAGTGATAATCATACGTAAAGTGACAAAGGTTTATTTTAATATTATTATACTTTACAAAAAGCGGCATGCAAAAGAGAGTGAGATCTCTATCCTTATAAGATCATATAAAATAAATATCAAAGAAGGAAGCAGCCCTAAGATTTCAGTGCACATAGAATCACAATGTGTCTCCGTACGCAGTTCAAGATTTTGTTACCATAGTAAAAATAAATATGTAAGTCTGAGATAGATAACTAACCTACAGTGTTCAACTATATTAGTTAAGTTAATTATTTGTTGAAAAATGTGTGTGTTGGTTTTCTTAAAACATTCCATTTAATTATTAACATTGAAAATTACATTTATTCATGGAAATTCCCCTTTAATAATCAATAAAGATAAGAATTTGGAAAAAAATATTATAAATTTGTGAGAGAAAATGCTTCTCTTGTCCTATTTATAGGATAGAGAGTATTCATTTTGTTCTTATTTATAAGATACTTCAATGATTATGTTCATCTTTATCCTAAAGATTTTTTATTTTTAAAATATGCATATATTTAATGGGTGTAAAGTTGGAGAATTAATAAAATTTAAGGTTTTCATAGATTTTGGTAAATATGCTAGAAATGATTTATAAATAAAATTAGAGACAACAAATTGATGTCTTATATTTAGGACCAAAGCAAACTTATCAACTAGCACCTACATTTAGAACCAGAAAAAGTATTCATAATGCATTCATAATTTATTGAAATATGAACCTTATCATATATGTATAGCAAGTTAGTTTGTAACTGTCACTAGCTAAAAGGTGTTGTTGAATCAACTTATCTTTTTGAATTTGGATACAAGTCATGTGATATATTAAATAAAAATGTCAAAAACATCTTGATATACCCTGAGGCTGCTATTGATAATAATGTTTTCTATCAGCAAGAGTTCATAAGTCCGAGTGGTTAGTAGTAGTAATTTCAAATTTTTTAGGATACTGAGTAATTGAATTTTAAAAAAATATATTTTACCAATGGATCTCTTTATTGCCTTTATTTTAATGTATGAATAAGTGGATGCCGTTTACACAGAAACTAGCCGATAATCTTACCAAGGTCCAATTGGTTCTTATACCCTAGCTAGACTACTTTTTCTTTTTCCCTTTATGATCAATTTAACTCATTCTTAATTTGTTATTTATCATTTATATTTCTTTTTTGATTGTTGCGGAACCGCATTCATGACCCCTTTTTCTTTTTATTGATTCATCTCTATCCCTTTTGCACTAAAAAGCCCTCCCTCCATACCATAACTCTTCTCAACCATCACACACAATTTGTTTCAGCAGCCCAGAAAAAGATCACCTCCTTCAATATCCTATCTATATATCTACTCACACACACACACACACACACAGATCTGGTTTTGTTACTTTTTCAATATAATTCAGAATCTGCCCCACAAAAATGAATACCAACCAGAATACTCATCCCTCCTTCACCAACAGCAGTGTTAACATTAGTAATAATCATCCAACTTGGAATATGAATCTTGAGCATATGGGTTCTGCTTGGCTTCCTCTTCAAACCCCAATATCTACCTCTTCATCTTCTGGTTTTCTCATCAGTGACATGTTTGGCATCAACTTGGGAAGAGAAGGAGAAGGAGAGGAGGAGGAGGAGGAGGAAGAAGAGCTTGGAGCCATGAAGGAGATGATGTACAAGATCGCCGCTTTGCAGCCAGTCGAGATCGATCCCTCCACCATTCGGAAACCTAAGCGGCGGAACGTCCGGATCAGTGACGACCCACAGAGTGTCGCCGCCCGACACCGCCGTGAGAGGATCAGCGAGAAAATCCGAATCCTGCAGAGACTCGTCCCCGGAGGAATCAAGCTCGACACCGCGTCCATGCTCGACGAAGCCATTCGCTACGTCAAATTCTTGAAGAGACAAATCAGGTTCCTCCAATCTCCACCACACCAACACTGCACGATCACCACCGGTAACAACACCTCTCTCGCCGATTGGCCTTACACACCAAACACGCCCTACACCGCTGCCACCGGAACGGTGTTCAACGCCGGTGATAGCTCCTCCGGGTTTAACCATGAGGTAATTAGTGAATGACTACTAGAGTATTATGTTGATTACTGTATAAGTATGTCAGGGGAGAAAATAAAAGATCGAGCAAGTAATTAATGATACTGTTTGTTTGAGAGAGAGAGAAAGAGAGGGAGAGATCTCGTTAGCATATTGTTGCCTGAAGTTTTGTAACATACGAGCATAATCATAAACGGTTGGCTTCATTTGGCTTGTTACGTATTTTTCAGCCACGTGTGTGTATAGAATATTGGGAATGATGTGTGGTTGGGTTTTAATTTGAAAGTTGGCCGAAAAGTTTGTTTGGCCTGCATGCCTTTTTCCCTTGAGAAATACTCATATAAGCCTTGACGTGATCACGGGAAATTTAGTTAATAATCAATATATCTAAATGTGAAAGCTTGGTCATCTGTGGATGTGTATAATTACTTAAATACACGCTTGCTGCTGAACCGACGACAAGGTGACAGTCTATGTACACGTGTTTGTGTGTTGTTTGGAGAGACTGAAACTTAGGGGATTATGGTTTGAGTGGCTTCGAATTTTAATCAGTTGTGAGAAAGAGTGTCATGATGTGAGGAGAAAGCCCTCAAGGGGTGAGAAAAGCGATCACGAAGTTGTTAAGCCAAACTTGAAGCTGATAATGATATTCGACCATTATCTGGCTTAATTGGAGGTAGCTCTCTCAAAGAAAACTATATTTACATTTACACAGACTCAACTTCAGAACTCATGTTTAAACAGTCATATTTCTTTCTACTAGAACTAATTGACGCCTGTTTTGGCAGCTGATAATAATAATATATCTTTACAGCTTTTATACGTTTACAATGGATTGATTCAGCATATAGAATTTTGGGTTCTGTTATGCAGGGATTAGCTTTCTTGCTGAAATACTAGACTCTGCTAATTAACACAAGCGCGTCTGGCAGTGTGCAGAAACTGCAAATCCAGATTCTGGATTTAATTGAACCTAATTCATTCCTCCCATTTTGCACTGAACCAAACCTTTTCTCCTCTCCTTGTCTTTTGTTTTTCTTTCTTCTTTCTCACTCTTTCTTTGTTAAGATTTAAAATCAGTTCCATGGAACTCCAAAAACAAAAACGGAAACACGAAATCATGTCAGTAAGTAATAGGTATGCTTGTTTGTGCATAAAGTGTTTGACTCTTTTTTTCCCTTTACAATTTACGATTTTATGATTATATTTTTTTCAACAATTTCTCAATAGGATCATCTACTGGTTAACAATTAATATACATACGGTCATATAAAATTAACTATGATCCAATTATATTTTATTTGCGTTATATCTGTCTATATATCTGTCTATACATATCTGTGTTGTACTTTAAGGTTGAATAGTGGGGAATGGGAACGATCAGGATGCTAATAAGAATGAAGAAAAGATTATATATATAGTTACAAGAAAAAAAAAAAAAACTTTGATTCATCCACTGCAGTATTGATGATTAAGGGGTTTGTACTGGATGGAGCCCTTTTGAATAGGAAAGCTAGCCCCTTGAAGAATCCTATATATTATAAATTTCACTCAAGTGATGTGCACCTAAATATGAACTCATAACAATGTCACATTGTTTGAAAGCCATTAGGAACTTCACTGCACTTCCAATATCTTGCTAATTAGAACTTTTGTATATAGCCTGTTTCGTGACACCAATCTGTCAATAAAAACATCAAATCTATATAAGCACAAGCCTTAAAAGAGAGAACATATTCTAAAAGATTAAATTTATAATGTTAATACTTTCATTGAGAACCGATTGGTGTCACAAAGAGAACTATCCATGGAGAGTTCTAATTTGTAAGAGGCTAAGAAAATACTATGGAGTAAAGTCACATGAGATTTTGGCTCTAAAATAAGGTGTCATTGTTTCAAGTCCATATTAGGAGCACATCACAAGTGGAGTGAAATTTATAAATATATAGGATTCTTCAATCTAATAATTAGTCTTTTTAAATGGGCTCTTTCTTTAAATTTATATTCATGACACCAATTAATTAATGTGCGAGTTTTAGTTAGGCTTTAATTTTATTTGTTCATATAAAAGCTACATACGCTACAAAAAAATGATGGCCAAAAAAAATATTTTGGCAGCAAATTTTAATAGTTGTCACCAAAACTAACTTTATTTGTCACTATCAAAAAATTTTTATAAAAAATAATTTAAAAATTAAAAATAATTTATATAATTAATTTTGGTGATAACATTTGTCTCCAATAAATTTTTTTTTTAAAAAAATTAAATATAATTTTAAATTATATGAAATAATTTATAAGATTAAATTTAAATTATTAAAAAAATTTCTTATGAATTATTTTAAAAATTTAAATCTAAATAAATAATTGAAAAGATATTTATGACACGAAATTTTTTATCTTATATACAGAATTAGAAGTAATGATATATAGGATTATGAAACAAAAAGAATAATAGTAAAAATGTGTTAAGTTTAATTATTAAATTATTTTTTAATTTTTATGATTCATAATATTTTTTTACACATATGTAGCTCATATTTTTTTAAAAAACAAAATTATGTTATGAAGCTAGTATTTTAATATGATAAATTATTAAAATCTTGATGGGTTATTATTTTTAATTATAATCACGTTAAGTTACACATAAATTATCACTTACATACAATTACATGAATGGTATTGCAATGTTACAGTTGTACAGATGTCATGAGATGTAATTGACATCATAGACTACTTGACATTTGTGTATTTGATGCTTAGCTTAGTATACATATAGTGTTTACTTTTTTTGCAGAGCTCTAATAGCTTTAAATAAGCATTTCATGTGATTCTACCTAGTGTGTTTAGGTTTCCATTGTTATAAAAAAAGTTATTTAATAAGATTTTTTATAACTAATTATTACTAAGAAGAATATGAAAAATTATTCAAATCTACCTTACCATAAGGTAGAGAAATGATTAAAGATTAGCTTGATTGATTATGAAATCTTTGTAATATCTTTGTATCATAAAAATTATTAGTATTTATTAAAAAATTAAAATTATTCAAAATGACTAAATTTATGTGGTTAAAATAATTTTTCAATTAAAATAATTTCTTAAGATATTGAAAAATTGTAGATAAAATATATTTTAATAAAATAAGGGGAACATTTAACCATTTTGGGAGAAGATAAAAATTTTAATCATTTAATTTATTAGTGTTTGAGAAAATATGAAGAAGATAAAAGTAAAAGATATTTAACATAAACTTAATACATATTATAAATAAATTATATACTAAATAATTTTTATTTAAAAATATAATAAAATTTGAAAATTGGTTACAATGTTTATAAGAAAATTTGTTTATTTTAAGTTCATTTTCATAACAATAATAAGATTTACTATACTAGTAAAAAATAATATTTTATTAAAATATAATATAAATATTCATAAAATTATGTAATCATATTAATAACTGAAAATAAAATATAATTAAGTTTTTATTAGGACCTAATTGTAATTTTCCCGACACTATATGGTATCACTAAAAATACTCTTTTTTTGGAATCATTATGTGGAGTATATCTTATAATTTAAATGAAGGGAATATATTGGGACAGGCAAACAACATAAAAAAAAAGTATGGAATCCTTTTTTGGATGACTAATAATGATAATAGAAATATAAAATTATTGTATATTTCATTATTGAGACTTGAGGGACAGCCAAAATTGTTTTCCCATGCTAACTAGAAGAGGCAACTAAGGATCCGTTTGGTTTTCTTATTTTTTTATATTTAAAAAATAAAATTTTACTTTTAAAAAGTTAAAGTTGTTTAGATAAAATATTTTTGAAGAAAGCATTTCTAAAAATACATTCAAACAGTAGTTGAAAGTAAATTTTTAAAATGTAACTATTTGAAACTTTTGAAAAATAAATTTAAAAGTAAGATATTATTTGACCATACTACCCCAAGTTTAATCTTTTTATTCTTTTATTTAAAAAATAATTAATTCATTAAAAATATAATTATTATTTTAATAATAAAATAATTAGGTATTAAGTTTTTAGCATTATAAATTTAATAATTAATTATGTTAATTTTAGTGTTAATGTATAATAAAAAGTAAAAATCTTTATCACATTTTTTAAAATTACAAATTAAAAAAACACAAATAACTAGAGATCAAATTTTTAATATTATAGATCAAATTTATGTTATTTAAAATCTTTATCACATTGTTTAAATATTTTAAATATATTACATTTGTATATAAAATTATAAATCATAATAAATCAATGTCTTTTTTTGTAATTGTATATTTAAAAATACATTTCACTATCACAACTAAATAATTTTTAGTGTATCAATTGACTATTAAAAAATATATTTTAATATAAATTCACTATAAAACAACTGATTTTTATCATCAAATAAATTTTTATTAAATAAATTTTTAATAAATTAAAAATTAAATACAGACTAAAGTTAGAATCGAGGAAAAGTCCAGAGAGAGTTTTTTTTTTTTTTTCTTTTAAGAAAAAAGAGGAACGATGATAGCTTCAGGCCTTCAGCTTTTGTGAAATTTGTTTCCAAAAATGGAAATTTCTGAAATTCCTCACTTTCTCTCTCCTTTTCTCTTCCTAAGTCAGTTGTCAGTGGTGGCCCCAAAAAAAGTGTCGTGAGAAAAGTGGAGTCCAGAGAGAAAGTGGAAGAGTTGAATTCCTTGCAAGCTTGCACACTTACTTTATCGTTGTGTGGTAAGCTAAATTCATTTCACATTTTATAATTAATTAAAATGATGAAAAAAAACACATTACAAAGACATTCTTTGGATTTTAATGGGATATTGACAAAAAAAATTAAATTAACAAACCATGATAATGTTTGGATAATTTTTTTAAATTAATTTTGTAAATTGATTTACTAAATGTGGAACAAATTAATTTCTACAAAATAGAGTTTTAGAAACTAAATGAAATTTAAAAAAATTGGGACGTTTGGATGAATTTTTCCAAAACTATTGTTTTAAGACCCCATAATTGATCTAGAAGACATCCGAGCAGGCCCTAAATCTTGCTGAGAAATTTTTG